GTCGCGCCGCCACGTCACCGGCGCTCCCCTCGGTTTTTGTGGAAACGGAAAGATTCGGCTGGAGTGTACTGCCAGGGCAGGCCGACGTGCCCCCCGGTACCGGCGAGGTCGAGCTCGTGGGTGCCCGTGAGCGTGCGTGGCCTGAGGGCGACCCGACAACGCCGCCATCATTTCAGGGGTTAACGTCACGTGGGGGGGCTTCCCCGGGGGCGGGGGCGGGGGGCCCGCCTCTGGGAGGGGAGAAGCAATGCGTGCATGTGGAGTGGGCTCTTATTTTTTGTTGTATTTTTTGTTTTTGTTTTTGAGGTGTTGGCTAGACACAGCTGTCGATCTACTCAGTACAGAGAGAACATAGATGTTAGTGTTTGGGCCATCTGAGCTTCATTTCTTACTTTTTTTTAAGAAATAAAAGGTTAAGTAATAAGAGTCGCCCTATCCCCACTCCTCCCAATCCCTGCCCCCCCGCCCCACTTTTTCCTCCCTCTCAAAACGATCCAAAAGTTGGTGAGCATGCTGTGTGTGCCTTTGATGTTTTTACGCGGCATAGGTTGTTTATTTGGGCGTTTTCTGTTTGTTGTTTTGCACAAATGTTATATATGAAGCACAGGTTTGGTAGTGCTTTTGTGCTTAAAAACCACCAGCTATAGCTGAAACATCCCCCCAAAACCACCAGCTAGAGAAAAGATGAGGCTTTCTGTTTCCCTAAAGAGCTAACAGTCCCGGAACCCGGTGACGGGGCAGTTCTACCCTGTCCCATCAGGTCGCTGTGAGTTAGCATTGGTTTAGATGGCAAAGAGTTGGTTTGTTTTGGTGCTTATACTTGAGCGCCATGTTTAATGTAGCTGGTGTGCAGTAGTCCATGCAGAGCCCTGGGTTGCACAGGGGCTTAAGCATCGGAGGTGGCTGCTTCAGCTGCCTGCTCTTGTAAAGGTGGCCAACCACGGGTGCCTGACTTAGGGTTGCTGCACACCTGCCTCAGCAATAAGTTTCTTTTCTTGGATTAGCAGTCCATGGTGTACTCTGGTGGGGTGGTGGAGTAAGTGCTGGACGCAAACCACAGAGCTCGTGGTTCAAGCCCACCAGCTAACTGCCCGGTGGGAGAAAGGTGAGGCTGTCTGACCATGCAGTCTCAGTGTCCTATAGTGTCACTCTGCCTTGTAAGTCACTCTGAGTCTGAATCCACTCCACGCCGTGAGCTCAGAGTATTCCGGGTGTGGGTGTTTCACTGCACTGTTGTACATTTGGGTTGTTTCAGATTTCTCTACTGTTTGAGGCCGAGGTGTAACTAATACCCTTCCTGCCTTTACATTTGTGGGAGTAGAATTAAAGCTTTTCAGATGAAATCACTTTAAAATGTTTGAGTGCTATTAAAATTTTCATTTTTAAATGCAGTGTTTAGACCCTTCTCTTAGGTTAACGTCACTAGGCAAAGGGAAGATTCTAACTAACCCTGTTTCTCATCTCCTAATTATCTGGGTCAGTGATGGATTATAAGTCCTGTTTTTGTTTATTTAAAATTTTTTATTTAAAAAAATGTTATGCCATGTTTTTAAATTGATGGGATTTAGGCTTTGAAAACTCAAATGTAAGGTAGTTGTGTCTCTTTTAGTGTATGTTTCAATTCATAGTCTGACTGCCATTTTCTTTGCTTATTTTAGATCCAGATGAGCAGGAAGTGGCCACTGAGGTTCCTAGAGTGGTAGTTCAAAATCCTCCAAAACCAGTCATGACTGCTAGGCCCACAGCTGTTAAAGCAACAGGTATTGTGGTATTTTTCATTCTTCTGTATAGAATATCTGTCATTAGAATCCAGTTGGATTTACAAATAGTAGATTATTGGGTTGAATGAAATTCTTCAGTATTGCTAACTTCTATTTTTCCCTCAAAACGGAAATTCAGAATCTGGGTGCTAAGACTTGGTATATATGCTTTGACCCTTGCACAATGCAGTGTTGCTTTTTCTCTGTACTCAAAGTATTTTGTACTGCTTTTTATTCAGATGCTGCTTTGTAATTGGCTTTCAGGCCCTCCCACTAGCACTGATCAAGTCCTTTACCTGTCCTAGCAAATGTTGTGGACCCGAGGATTGCTCATCTAAGATGAGCAATTTTTAAGCATCGAGAGCTATTTGTAGCAGTGGTTTTTGTGAATAAACCTCCCTTCAAATCATTGCTCTAGATTTCTCCCTGAAGATGCCGCGCAGACAGTTGTTGAGCACTTTGAACCTCATTCCTGTGAAAATTGGATCTAATATCCCAAAGTTATTTGGGGGGGGTCAAATATGTAAGGTTTTCTGACACATACTAAGGGCCAAGATTAATATAGATTTTTGTATACCGAGTGCTCTGTGATTGTAGTAATTCTACTCGTTTCTAATAGAATGCTTTTTATACTAATGGACACCTAAAATAACAATTCTCCCCTCCCTATATTTCAGAACTACCTTCAACAGCTACCATTTTGTATTTACCAACTATATGAGTTATTTCAAGGAAGTCTGGTGGTGTGCTGGTTAAATGCCTACTTGTTAACCACAAGCCTGGCAGTTCAACCCACCCCCTGCCTTCCAAGAAAAGGATAGCCTGACAGCCTGCTTCTAGACTGGTAGTTCTGTCTGGCTTATGTGCAGTCACCACACAGGGCTTCGTTTGTTTTTAGCATGGGGGCTAGGTTATTCCATTTGAAGCTCCTAAAAATCACCTGAGGTAGATGACATTTAAATGTTCCTCGGAAAAGTTCCTCTGGTTGCTCTGTCACTTACCGCTTCAGGTTTTGATGCACATTGTAACCTGAAATGTTTTTCTATAGTTCAGTTCTGTCCTCCACCTTAATAATGTTTAAGCTTTATTTATTATTGCCTGTGAAGATATACTTTGTGCCTGGAAGTTTCCCTACTTAGGGAAGATGTAGAGGAACAGCAAGAGATCTAAAGTGGTTTCAGCAGGCAGGTGGAGGCACCCCTGGACGGTTCGTCAGATGACTTTCTTGAGCCTCTTCTATGTGCCTGGCCTTCCTTTCTGTACCAGGAGTATAGACGTGGACAAAGAGTGATAACACCTTTCTGCCATTGCGGGGCTTAATGTTCTAATAAAAATTTGGTTTAACTCACCTGGTACCAGCATTTTACCAAAAAATTCAGAGCCAAGGCTAGTGACTTGGATTTATATATATTTATGATGGTCTCCAAACTATGTGTTTCTAATAAAAAAATACAAGTTTACCATCCAAAAGCTTCACTGAGCTATCAGTGTTAAATACTAAAGATTAGGGGTGGCATTGGTGATGGTTTTCCATAAAGAAATGTCCCCTTTTACAGTTGTAGTCTTATTTACTTTTCCTAGGAAAATTGACCCACATGCCCCAAAACAAGAAAGAAAATTATTTGGAAAATGGAAACATTGTCAAATAAGGAAATGCCTGCTTAAAAGTCATTCTGATTTACTTTGATTCATGTTTTAGAAATTGAAGTGGATATTTAGTTTAAGAACTTCCCTCTATACTGAAAAATAAATTAAGACATGCTAATGCATTGAATGTAAGCTCACATAATAAATGGAATATTTAGGCTAACATTTAGATGAACCCATTAGTTCCTATATGGAATGTATGACAGAGGATTAAATTTTGCTGCTTGATAAATTCGTTCATTTTCCAAATACTGAAAACAGAATAGGAAAACAGAAAACCAGGCTGACTGCCATCAAGTTAATAGCAACTCCATAAGACAGAGTAGAGATGCCCTTCTGGGGTTTGAGACTGTAATCTTAACAGGAGTCAACAGCCTCACTTTCTTCCCTGGAGCTCAAATGACTAGCCGTGGGGTTAGCAGCTCAATGTGCAGATCCCAGTGTACCACCATAGCTCCTCCAGGCATTGTCAGTAAGAGCTGAAAACTAGCTAGAATTGTGTATCTTCCTGTTGGAAGAAGAATCTTTGTCTCAAATACTGTGCTCAGTCAGCAGTGTGAGACTTTGTTAGTTGCCATTGAGTAGTCCCCAATTCCCATGTGATTCCATGTGTCACAGCAGGGAGAGGGAGAAAAAAAAAGAGACCATCTATCTGCTCCCGCAGATATAAAGCATCAGTCACGGTGAGTTCGAGTCAATTCGATGGCCTTGGGTTGGTTTGGTTTTTGAATCTTTATGGAAGCATTTCATGCAGCCTCTCCTTCGAGGAGCTGCTCCGGGTGCTTTACCTGCCAGCCTCTGGGTTTATTAGCCAATTGCCAACCTCTTGAGCTCCCTGGCCTCCTAAATTGCATGATATACGAGGTACTCTTTGGGGGTGTGTGTGTGATAATAATAATTGATTTGGGGGAAGGGGGAATCGATCACAAGGATCAACATATAACTCCCTCCAAGGGGGGTGAACAACAGAAAAGTGGGTGAAGGGCGACAGGATGATTTAAGATATGAAAATAATAATTTATAACTTAAGGGTTCATAAGGGAGGGTGGGCAGGGGAGGGAGGGGGAAAATGAGCTGGTATAAAGGGCTCAGGAGAAAGAAAAAGCTTTGAAAATGATGATGGCAGCATATGTACAACTGTGCTTGACAATGGATGATTGTTTAGATTGTGATAAGAGATGTAAGAGCCCCCCCAAGTATTTAATTAAGAAAAACAATAATTGATTTGGAGGGTTGTGAGAGTATCATATTAACTCTAAATTTATACTATTGTAGCTTACATTTGTCTCAGGGACTCAATTTTCAAGTTGTGTCCTAGTCTGTAAATAAATTAATTGTAAATTCTTTGGCTAAAGAACATATTTTTTGTTTTGTTTTATAATCAGTTCTTAAAATATGCCGACAGTGTTGGCACTGGTAATTGGCTGCTGTTTTGTTTCTAGGAGGTCTTTGCTTACTTGGTGCGTATGCGGACAGTGATGATGACGAGAGCGATGCCTCAGAAAAACCAGCACAATCTAAAGAGGCGAACGGGAATCAGTCGGCTGATATCGACAGTACATTGGCCAACTTTCTAGCGGTTAGCTGTGCTTATGTTTTGGGATTTAGGGGATAGATCTCGTGGTTAGTATTCTTGCCAGTCTTCAGGTCTACTGTCTCCTACCAACCCATCTCTCTGCTCTTCTATAAATGATCATCATTTCCCAGTGTTTCTGGTTTTGCCATAATTAATGTACTGGTTACTGTTTTCATTCTCAAGGAGATTGATGCCATAACAGCTCCTCAGCCTGCAGCTCCTGTAGGAGCTTCTGCTCCACCTCCCACTCCACCTCGCCCGGAACCCAGGGAACCATCAGCTTCGGCCCTTTCTGCCAATGCTTCAAATGGCACCGACTCAAGCCAAATTTCTGGGTGGCAGTATGACACTCAGTGTTCACTGGCAGGAGGTAAGCTCAAGGCTTCAAGTTTTAGAGTCACTTCTGTGGTGCTTTAGGTATTGAGATCCCTAAAAGGCGAGCGCAGATACTTTGTCGTTGAGAGGGAGCTGTTGGCCCATTTAACCTGCAGCAGATTAAATTGAATAAATAATAAAGCTTATTCAGATGCATTGTTAAACTACCAGCTTGGTTTTTTTAAGCCCTGTGTACAAAAGTGACTTGACAAATGTGTGTTGAGAAAATAATTCTTGCTGTTAGAACACTTGGTCTCAGGGTTGCCCCTCGGGACATTAACGGCGTCTGGCGGCATTTTGTTTGAGTTGTCATAGCTGGGAGCGTGCTCCTGGTAGCTAAGGGGGGGATGATACAGTTATTTGCTGCTAATCATCCCAGCCTGCACACAACAGTCCTCCCTAGCAGTAACCTGACCCGAGATTCTATAGTGCCAAAGCTGAGGGACCCGCACGTTAAGTTTGTAAGGTCAGCATTAAGGAGCTTGGATGAACTGCTAAAAGTTACCTCTATTTTCTTCTAGTTGGAATTGAGATGGGAGATTGGCAAGAAGTCTGGGATGAGAACACAGGATGCTATTACTATTGGAATACACAAACCAATGAAGTGACTTGGGAATTACCCCAATATCTTGCTACCCAAGTACAAGGGGTACAACACTACCAGCCCAGGTAAAGATGGGCTCTAAGAGAAGTTACCTAGAAAGAAATTAGAGACTTGTGTGCTGCTAAAAATGTTTGCCTCTGTGGCTGTTATAAAATATATTTTTTCTTTTTTTTTTTAGTTCTGTAGCAGCTGCTGAAGCTGGTTTTGTGGTAGCTACAGACATAATTACTAAGGAGAAAACCGGTTCTGTGTCCAGTAGTAAAACTGGACTGGTCATATCCAAGCGAGAGGTCAAAAAGGTCAGTGTTATAAACTTAATTTGCATGCATCATTTCAGATCTCACCTTTCAATGTGGCTCTGGGCACTAACCTGGAAACTGCAGCTGATTTATGCAACAAGGATGTGAACTAGGCGTAATTCTGTTTCTTAAGGTTTTACTACTTATTTCTATTCATTATGCAGTGATGATAGCAGTTATCAAGTCCATAAGTTTGGAGGAGCACTAGGATTCCCCAGAAGCCCCTTTGGTTCTTGTGAAGGGTGCTTGGGCAGCCCAGCAGCAGTCAAGGCCATAGAATAGTTCTTTCATTTTAAGATTCTGTATTTTAAGACTTTTTTTTATCATTTTATTGGGGACTCATACAACTTATCACAATCCATACATACATACATTGCGTCAAGCACATTTGCTATTTGCTTGAGCCTTTGGTATCAGCTCCTCATTTTTTTCCTCCCCACTCCCTCATGAACCTTTGCTAATTTATAAATTATTATTATTTTGTCATATCTTACACTGCCTGATGTCTCCCTTCACCTACTTTTCTGTTGTCCATCCCCCAGGGAGGTGGTTATATGTAGATCCTTGTAATTGGTTCCCCCTTTCCACCCCACCCTCCCTCCACAACATTTTTTTCATGTTAACTTCTGTTGTGTTTTTCTTTTCTTAAAAAAAATTTTTTTTTTTAATTAGGGGCTCATACAACTCTTAGCGCAATCCATACATACATCAGTTGTGTAAAGCACATGTACATTTGTTGCCATCATCTTCTCAAAACATTTGCTCTCCACTTAAAGCCCCTGGCATTGGCTCCTCATTTTTCCCCCTCCCTCCCCACTCCCTCCTCCCTCATGAACCCTTGATAATTTATAAATTATTATTTTGTCATATCTTGCACTGTCCGACATCTTCCTTCACCCACTTTTCTGTTATCCATCCCCCAGGGAGGAGGCTATAATATAGATCCTTGTAATTAGTTCCCCCTTTCTACCCTGTGTTTCCAGTTCTTATCTGTACCAGTGTACATCCTCTGGTATAGCCGGATTTGTAAGGTAGAATTGGGATCATAGTGTGGGGGGTGGGGTGTAAGCATTTAGGAACTCGAAGAAAGTTGTATGTTTCATGGTTGCTACATCGTACCCTGACTGGCTCGTCTCCTCCCCGTGACCCTTCCATAAGGGGATGTCCAGTTGCCTACAGATGGACTTTGGGTCCCTACTCTGTACTCCCCCTCATTTACAATGATATGATTTTTGTTCTTTGATGCCTGATTACTGATCCCTTCGACACATCGTGATCACACAGGCTGGTGTGCTTCTCCCATGTGGGCTTTGTTGCTACTGAGCTTGATGGCTTCTTGTTTACCTTCAAGCCTTTAAAGACCCCAGACGCTATATCTTTTGATAGCCGGGCAACCTTTTTTTTTTTTTATTTAATGCCAAGATTAACCACCTTAAAAATGAAAATCTGTTAGTGCAACTTGAACATTTCTTGTACCACCGAACAGCACTTTTAGAATAGTTTCATCTTCACAACTTTCAGAGGGAAGTAAGGCACAAGTATTCTGTTAAAGGTAATGAACACTTCACATAATCACACGTTTCATTTCATAACTCTTCACTTGACTCAAAATCACTTTCATAGCAAACCTGTGAGGTTATCTCAGTATACAAATAGGGAAAGTTAAGATTTATCCACTCATGTGTTCAGCTGATAAAATTGTGACCTTATGTAGATCTACTTGTGTTTGTTACTAGCCTGCCTTTTGACATCCTGCTTATAGAGGGGATGTAAGAGAAGGGGAAGTCCTTGGGTCTTGTTCAGCAGAGTAACAGTGTGAGGGAAGCCGTACAAGCGTACATGTTAATCCAGCTGTGAAGTGAAGTGGTTCCAGATGATTCAGTGACAGAAAAATCCAGTCAGTATTAGCATGAGCAACTGAATGAATATAAGCACTGGTGATCATAAGATGGAATTACTCTTTTTAGGAAGTGAATGAAGGAATTCAAGCACTCTCAAATAATGAAGAGGAGAAAAAAGGAGTGGCAGCATCCCTGCTTGCTCCTTTATTGCCAGAGGGAATAAAAGAGGAAGAAGAAAGATGGAGAAGAAAAGTAATTTGTAAAGAAGCAGAGCCTGTGTCTGAGGTGAAGGAAGCAAGCACAGCAGTGGAAGCAGCAGCAGCGATAGCACCGAAGCCACAGGACATTGTGGTGGACAGTGTAGAAGACCCTTCTCCAGAGGACCTTTGCAGTGTTGTTCAGTCTGGAGAAAGTGAGGAGGAGGAAGAGCAGGATACTCTGGAGCTGGAGCTGGTGTTAGAAAGGAAAAAGGTGAGGTTTTGAAGGTTTTTCCCCTCAGTCTGTATCTACTAAGGACTATTGCGTGAAAGTTACCACCACTGTGGGGATTCTGGTTTTCCTTTCCTTCCATTTATATACATTTAAAACTCTAGTAAAACATCATTTACAAAGCTTTAGTTCTTTTGGTCCATGAATTGGTAGTCTAAACTAAAAAGCTTGACATTGTTCTTACTTAAGAAATAGTAATGAAACACTAATTTGTTAACAAATAAGCATTGTTAGTGCTTGGTGACAACTTGTTTTTTAATGTAAACTGCAAAGTGAACACTGGTGGGCCACTGTATTGTTTCAAAAGTTAATTTCATGTGTTTTCCTTGTTAAAAAGATGCCCACAGGAAATTTTCCTGACAGGATTTGGTCTTTACCCATTTTCTGTATCTCTTCCTTTCCAAACAAATATATCTGTTTTCTCTTAAAAGACCCAAGGGTACTTTGAAAAGTTCATTGAATATGGAAATCTACTGGATTTTTTTCTACAGATTTGCAACTCGCTTAAGAACTCACTCACTGCCATGGAATTGATGCCAGACTCCCAGCAACCTTATATGACAGGGCACAGCTGCGCATGGGTTTCCAAAGGCCGATTTTCCCCTGAGGGGAGAGGGGCTGGTGGTTTCATATGCTGACAGTGCAGATTGCAGTCCCAAACGTAACCACTATGTCACCGATTTTTGCAGCCCTGTTGTATAAGGCTGGCCTTGGCACATGTAGATCACTCCAGTTTAGTCATAGCTGACAAAGCAAAGCCAGGATGGACTGAAATATAAAATATGGGTACCTAGAAGGGGAAGAGTTGCTGGTTGAAGCCCTGAAGTAAGAGGCTCAGAAGAAGCCTACCGAGCCTCCTTGAATGGAGCTAGGTGTGGAAGACTAGATCATTTCCAGAACTGGAAAACAAAACATCTCCAAAGCTGTGATCGGCCATCATCTTGAGCAGGGCATCATTTCTTCAGGCACTGCTGATCAGATTTGGTTGCTATGTGCTTAGAAAACATCCTGAGAAAACAAGGGTTTTCTCAAACGGACATTCCATTTCTAACGTGTTGACCTGTAATTTTCTCCAGTCTGGCTATCAGCCCAGGCATCCACATTTTGTAAATTCCAATCTGCCCTGGTATTTCCATCACTGAACCAGGAAGGACCTGTCCAATGCCCTGTGTAGAGAATATGAATATTTTCTTCAAGCTTATAACCCATTAAAATGTTGAAAATAGTGTTACGGAACCATTCCACCTTGGGGTACAATCAGTGACTAAGCCCTTGGCTGCTAGCCAGAGATGGACAGTTTGAACCTGTCAGCTCCTCTGCGGGAGAAAGCTCTTCTACCTTGGTAAATGTGTATTGCCTTCAAAACTCTGGGTCAGTTCCACCCTGTCCTGTAGGGCCACAATGAGTTAGAGTCCATTTAACAGGCTTGGTTTGCTTGATTAAAGCTATAAAGAAAACCAACCCACCCCATCACCATCAGGTTAATTCCAATTTGTGGTGACCCTTCTGGCAGAGTAGGCTGTTCCATGGAGCAGTCTTGGCTAGACTCTTATGTATTTGTCTGTGTGTCTATCTGTTTTTTCCAGTCTAGCCTCTTCAAGTCAGTAGTCATTAACTGTGATCATGAGTCATCCTTTATTGAGTAGCTGCATAATAGGAAGTGTAATACTCTAATGAAAGAAATCCTTCCTGCCGTTTAAACTTTAAAGGGTTTTATTTTAAGAACATGGTCATGCTTACCATTCTTGCTATGCAATTATTATTTAAAATATTTTTTGCGATTATTTAATTGTTTAAATAATTTTGTAAATTGTTGATAGTTTACAAAACTGATTTTATTATGCTATTTCTTGTAGGCAGAGCTTCGAGCATTGGAGGAAGGAGATGGTAGTGTGTCAGGTTCCAGTCCACGTTCTGATGTCAGCCAGCCAGCATCTCAAGATGGAATGCGTAGACTTATGTCTAAAAGAGGAAAGTGGAAGATGTTTGTTCGAGCTGCCAGTCCAGAATCCACCAGCCGAAGTTCTAGCAAAACTGGACGGGATACTCCAGAAAATGGAGAAATTGGTAACTCGTGCTTTCCTAAACTTTATGCTCTAAAAATATTGTGGGAAAGCCCACCTTTCCCTTTTCTGTTGTCTCTTCCACAAGAGTAGGCAGCGCTTTGATCCCTTGGGGGAAGTGCTTCCATTCTGTACCATATTATATTTCACCTCTGACGGGGGAGAGAAGTAAGAGTGAGAAACTGGCATCCATTGGGTCATGTATTCCCAGATGAGTGGGAATTCCTTTAATCTGTGTAAGGACTGGACTTTCCTTTGCTCTTTTGTCACTTGGCAAGCAAGGTTGACCAACTCTATCTCATCTTCTGCTCTCTTTGTGCAAGTCTCTCAGCTACTGGTTGGGTGGGGAGGCAGTTTGGCCCTGTCATAAGGACCCAGGTTTTATTCTTTTAGGAAGGAGAGGCCCTGCTGCATTTTTCTAGTCTACATCTGAGTTCTGAAAAAAAAAAAAAAAAAACCTGTGTTAATCTCCACCTGACCTAAATCTGTAGTGAGAAGATAGCAGTAAAACCAAACACCTACCCAAAAAAGACCTTATGTGGGTCATGATTTCAAAAAACAAAACCTGCATGTGATAAATGAATGCAAACAACCTTGTTAGAATTTTTTTTCCTTTTAATGGAGAACATCCTTCACTTTCATCCTTATGATTTTCTACACTTGAAGTCTGTTTTCTGTCTTAAAATACATGTTCTTGTAGACCTTTTCCTTTATATGTGCATATAAAAGGTTTTTTTGCCGTAGGCGAACATATACTGTATATTATTGAACAATATTCTTACCACTAAACGTGTTTTGGAAATCATTTCAAAAAGAAAGAAAATCATTTCATAGTTTTATTTTTTTCTCTTATCAGTTTAACTCCTTCTGTTTAGGGACCTTTGCGTTATTTTGTTTTTCCTCTGTCAAACCTAGGACTGTACAAATAAAAATAACTCCTTTCTTGGTAGGCTAATTATAATAATGGAAGTGTTTTAAATTCCAGCAGGTATTCTATTTGGAGGTAGTTCTGTGAAGGGAACCAAGGAGTTTGGGTGATTTGGAATTTATTGTAACAAATTCAGTTCTTCATGGTGTCTTATAGTTAAAATAAAAATAATTTCCTTTAAAAAAAAGACTGCATTTTTATTAACAAAAACCTACCAGCCACTCAAATACCCATCAGCCAAATGGTTACATAGGTTGTGTGTGCTCACATTGGAATATTGGCACAACAGTGAAAAGTGGGTGAGCCATAGTTCCATGCATTATCAGGATAACTGTAAAAATATGTTGAGCAAAAAAGTAATAGAATACATGTTAATGTTCTATATGTAAATTGGAAAATAAGTGAAATATTGCACATCAAAACTGCATGTTAGGTAAAACTCCAAGTCCGGGGAGTGTCTGAGGTACTAGTGTGCTTTTAAGTTGGATTTTACTTGATTATTTGTTTTGCTTAAACTATTAAACACATTTGTTACACTCTGCAGTAAAAATGTTGTAAGCATCCAAATACATATATTTATTCACATTTTTTAGTGCTGTCACTACATTATAGAGTTGCTACATATCGCGAGTTGCTTGGTCTAGTTCAATGTGCTAGATCCCACCTTACTGCCTTACCCAAATATTCAAGTCTTAAAAACTAAACTTGCAACCATTGAATCCATTCTTACAGCATCCCTTTAGGACAGAGTCCCCCGGTGGGTTTCCAAAACTAAATCTTCAAGGGAGCAGAAAGCCTTATCTTTCTCCCACGGAGCAGAGCAACTTGTGGGTTTGAACTATAGACCTTGTGGTTAGCAACCCAACGTACCACCCACTATGCTACCAGGGCTCCTTTATTTAAGTCTTAGTGCATTCTGAGAAAACAAACTCATATCATCTAGTCAGTCCCGACTCTACCCTGTAGAGTAGATGTGCTCCTGTGGCTTCCTGAGACTAAGTCTTGAAGGGAGCAGAAAGCCTCATCTCCCCCAGTGTTAGGCAGGTTTGAACCACCAACCTTGCAGCCCAATACAGAACCCTCTACACCACTAGAGAGCTCTAGTAATGCTTTTTTAAGTTGTTAAATTATTTTACTGGCTGCCATTTGTAAGATTCCTAATATATGATTGATTGATAAGTTCTAGATTAATATGTGGGGTGGTACCTTGTTTTGTGCAGTTTGAAAATACAGTGAACCCTTGTTTAGCGCGGTTAATCGGTTCTAGACCCTGCCGTGATAAATGAAATTCCGCGAAGTAGGATTCCTTATTTGTAAATCAAATATTTTCGGAGTTAGAGCATCGAGGACATGAAAAAACACCCATTACACTCATATTACCCAATTTATTAAACAAAAAAGGGAAAATACAGCAAAACATTTTGGACGTTACAATTATCATTTATTATATTATTTATGGCATCAAGCGTGTACAGTATGAGCGAATCAGTGGCAGTAATGACAGAGCATGCGCTGTTACGCAAAAACTGCGATAGAGTGAAGCCGCGGAAGTCGAAGCGCGAAGTGGCGAGGGTTCACTGTAATAGGTGCATTAATGAGCAAAGATATGAGAGCACACAGCCATTATATCATAAGGTTACACCGATTAAGCCAGTGCTAAACCTTTTTGCCACATACAGAAGCACCATCAAGAGTAGGTGGAGTCCCTATGATTATCTCCATGTCTTAACCAGTTATGGGAGTTATTAAACAGTTGCCGTCAATTCAGACTCATCAGATGCTGTTAAATCAAAACTGCTCGAATATAAGAGTCTTTTTCTCTTTTAATAACACAGAGTTGATGGTCTAGTTTTGTATGGAATTGAAAGAGTGGTATTCTGGAAGGGGAGAATGAGAAAAACTACAGGCTAAAGTGGTAGGAGGTGGTGTGTGCTATTTATAGATTGCCATTTTAATGTTTTTTGCTTTGTTTAGGATGGATGATTAAGGTTTCTATAAAGGGAAAGGGGAAAACCAGCAAAGGAAAGAACTAATAACCTATTATAAATAATCCTGCTACCAGTGGTAGACAATGCATATGAGGCTCTATTAATATTATCACTTATTTTGCAGGTATTGGTGCTGAAAATTCAGAAAAAATAGATGAGAATTCAGACAAAGAGGTAGACGTAGAAGAATCCCCAGAGAAGACAAAAGTACAAACAGCACCAAAAGCTGAAGAAGAGCAGGATTTGAAAGTATGTAATTATTGAATGCACAGTTGGCCAAAACCATTTAACTACATGTCTTTCAAGTAGCAAGTAGGAAAAGCAATCTAGGGTCCTACTTAGGTCAAATTAAAGAATTATAACAGGCTTGATGGAGAGAAATTATATAAAATTAAATTGTAAATGTTGGGTTAATTACATAATTACCCATTAAGGCTTTATTGGAACACAATAGCCTATCAAATAAGCTGTTTTAATAGTTGGAAGTACTGAAGAGACAAAGTCACAGGTTTTCCTCTTAAATATTTTTGAAATATTCTCTCATGGGGAGATTGAGTCTCAAGGAACAATTTGGCTACTTGAAAAAAAGCACTTGGCATATCCTTTATCCAGACATTAGCTAGTATACAAACGAGTAAAACAGTGTGGTGGTAATACCTGACCTCTGAATCTAGCTCCTGCCATGAGGAAGAGGTCAAACATCTTTATCTGTTCTAGCACAACTGCTCCTCCCACAATATTCTCCTCCTCTGTTGGGTTCAAAATCCATTGCACTGGGCACACTGTAGAGTAGATCTGCTCCTGTGGCTTCCTGAGACTCAATCTTGAAGGGAGCGGAAAGCCTCATCTTCTCCCCCAGTGTTAGGCAGGTTTGAACCACCAACCTTGCAGCCCAATACAAAACCCTCTACACCACTAGAGAGCTCTAGTAATGCTTTTTTAAGTTGTTAATTGTTTTACTGGTAACCTGTTAAGTACCCTAAGAACACAATACTTAAAATTGTGGGTGTTTCTTAGGGTACTTAACAGGTTACCACAAGTCAGGATCAGAAAACATAAAAGAAAAAGGTATTGGTCCAGAGCCAGCAGCCAGCTAGTTAGGTGGACACTTGCTTGGCTGCATAGTCTTGTCCTGCTCTGCTCTGCCTCCTGGTCTCTGCAAGCTCAGGGTTCATACCTGGTCTTCTGGTGCTTCTTCCTTGGAGGTCCTGGGAATTTTCTTTTCCTGCTTCTGAGATGGTACATTCTGAATAGCCAGAGGAGAAAGGGGTAACTAAAACTTGGCCGATCCCATCTAGTAATGTTTCACACACCCTATTTGCATGGTTCCACCCAAAAAGTTATGACTTAGACATGAATAAAAGGGCCCTATAAAGAAATTTCTCTCCTCCACAACCACCATGTAGTAAGAACTAGAAAAATTATTTTTGTTTTAGCAGATAGCCAGTCTAAGCAATTAATAACAGTTAAAGGAACTTAATTTGCAGTATTGTTTGTCATATTCTTTGGGATCTGTCCTTAAACATTGACATCCACGTTATGCTAGAATGGTTGATAAATGATGTGTGACGAAGCATTTGATTCCTGGAAAACTTCAGAATCATTTATTACTTTGTCAAGAATTTCTGTACTATAAATTTAAAATTTTTATCTTTTGTATTAGCTACTAGATAACACAGTTTGAAGAAAGCTAATTATAGACAGGTTTATATTTCCAGTATCTATAACAATAAGTGAAAGATTTCACACAGTATAAGAAAATAGCGGTTTTATTTTTGTTTTCCCTTTTTTTTCTTTTTTCTTTGCCCTAACAGTTTCAGATTGGAGAACTGGCAAATACCCTGACCAGTAAATTTGAATTCCTAGGCATTAATAGACAGTCCATCTCCAACTTTCATATGCTGCTCTTACAGACTGAGGTAATGTAACCACTTTTGTATGAACAGGATTTGAATGAAATGATGGGTATAGGAGATCTCTATCTTGTTAGTGTTCAATTCTGAATTAAAATATCTAATCTTGATGCATGTATGAACCACCATCCCCACAAAGGCAAAATATGAGGAGGCTTAAAGTTTGGAAAACTGGAATTAAATAAAAATAAAGGCATTTGTTCACAAACCTTTGAAGCACACCTTCACTATGAAGTTAAGTGGCTTGAATTTGTAAGGTGAAGATGCCTACTAAAATAACCAATTAAACAACCGCCGTTTCAGAGGCTGTAAACCTTTATACATGGACAGGTGACCTTATCTTTCTTCCATGGGGTGGGTAACTGGTGGTTTTGAGCCAATAACCTAGCAGTTAACAGTCCAGTGCTTAATCCACTGCCACCCGGGTTCTTTGCCTACTAAGATTTATGAGAACTGTAAGCAGAAGCCAGTTGGAGATGGGACCTCATGTATTTACCACAGAAACAAGTGAAAGTAAAGTGGCCAAGACTGCGTGGCTCTGAAAGGTGGGGGGGACCAGTGTAGTCCTGTCCAGCTCCAATGCTCACAGGTTTCGCTGCATGTGAGGAGACTTCCCAAATTCATGGAAAAATTACTTTAGATTCCTTACATTTTCCCACAAGCGTTTAGAAATTCCTTAGTATGTAAGACATGTATTTTAATACAAATTTTCTGGCAAAATGTTATAATGGTCAAATGAAGCCATAGATTTTTATTTTAAAGCATTAGAAATCTGTTTTCAAAGAAAATTAAGGTAGAGCTAAAGTGAAAACAAACCACACACCTAAATACCTACCAGTTGTGTGACAGTGAATGGCATAAGTTTCCGCACCCCTTTGGACCACATTAACATAAGCTTCACCTAGTTATTTTGTCAAGTACATGAATTACCAAGAGGACTCACATCTTTGAAAATAGGTTTCTAATGCTTTGGTTGCAGACTCCTGTATTAGTCTAGGTACTTTGGAAAAACAAATCCACAACAACTCATGTATAAGAGAGTTTTATGTAAAGAAGGTGTGCATCACAAAAACATCCCAACCCAGTGCTGTCCAAGCCCACAAGTCCAACATTAACCCATTAACCCAACACCACTCCACAAAATCCTCCACCTCACAAAACAGAGGCAATGATGCCGACTGCAGGAGGAAAGCTGAGTCAGTGAGCGAATAAGCATCTCAGCACTATCAGGCGTCTCCACACGGCTGCTCCAGCACCCAGGGCTGCATCAGGATAGGTCCATGGGGTTTCTCCTTGGGGATGTCTTGTAGGAAGTCAGTCTTGCAAGCTGAAGCAGGGAACTGCTAAGGCAGCTGCACCCTGTTGCAACCATCACAAAACAAGAGACCTGAGAACTAGAAAGGCGAGGCTCACCACCCATTTATGCCTCCGCCTTTCAATTAGCCCCACATGTGATTATCGGCCAGGTTGGCACAATTAACTAACTAAACTCCCACAATACTTTGATTTATATGCACTCTGCTTTTCTCCTGGGTTCTCTCATTCACTACAATGGCCACACACAACTCAAACAGTGTTGCAGTCAGCTACTGGGAAGTTAACAGGTTTTAATTCATATGAGAAATGCCCAGAGTATATTTGTTCAGTCAGGGCTGTTTCTTCTCTGCGGTATCCACAGGCCTCTGGGCCCAGCTTAGACAATGTTTCAAAGCTCTATTAGGGTTGCCAGTAAATGGTCAAAAAGGGTACCATTCTTCTGTAAGCCTCCACTGGAAGGCACTCAGCTCCAGCTCTGTGGGTCAGCGAACCCAGCTCCCCCTTTAGGTTCCTAGAGGCATGCCACTCCCTAAGCCAACCTCTGGCCCAGAATCGGAAAGCTTTACTTGCTCTGTAGGTTTGGAAGTTACATGCTTTGACACCCCTGGTTCTGCTATTGCTGTTAACTCTGCCTCTCCTCTGATAGCAGAACAATTTCTTGGTCCAGGAGATAAAGTGGACAGGAATTTCAGGGTCCAAGGGCATGCTCCACTACTAGCTCTTCTCTCTTGCAGGTAGTGAGATTCCTCACTCCCATCCCTATTTTATTCCCAATAGATGGCAATCACAATGAACAAATCAACCACAATCGAATCCTATCTGTCTTCTCTCGCCCTTACCAAGACCTATCAGGAAAGGGTCCTTTAGCGAATTACCGAGATTATGGCTATTAGAGTCACATTAAATAATTCACTGTACTGCAAAAAGGGAAACCAAGCTGACTGCCATCTAGTCGTTTGACTCATAGAGTCAGGGTAGAATGCCCTGTTTTTTCACAACTTTTTCAGCACAAACAAGATTGTGTAAAATTACAGGGAGATTTATTTCCCTTTGGTCTAATCTCACCCTCCAGAATAAGGCAGTGTTGTACCACTGGCTATAGTAAGGGCTCTTGAACTTACTTCCACTTGTATGTGTTGACTTGCAGACTCGAATTGCAGACTGGCGGGAAGGGGCTCTTAATGGAAACTACTTAAAACGAAAACTTCAGGATGCAGCAGAGCAACTAAAACAGTATGAAATAAACGCCACTCCTAAAGGCTGGTCCTGCCACTGGGACAGGTACGCACTCTTCTCCCCTTTTCACCTTTCACCTTTGACATCTCAGACATGATTTGTGATCACCACCACCTGACGACGTGACAGCCTGTCTGGAGACTGAGAGCAGCCACGTTTGTGGTGCTGGGCAGGCAGAGCACCGCAAGCACTCACAGTTGGGCCCGCCACACAGTGGAGAAACAAAGCAATGTTTAAAGTGTGCCATGTAACGGATTTTTTCCCAAGATGGACAAAGCTGGTGTTGACTCTCCAGAGTTGCACGGAGTAGGGCGGGCTTGGGGGTTAAGCGCATGCGAGAGCTCTGTGCGCTTTACAGGACCTCTGGAAGCACCTACTCCTGATAACTTCGGCGCAGTTAAGGAAAGCTTCGTGGCTGAAGATGTGAATGAAGAACAAGATTACTATCTTCGGCCAGCAGGTCAGATGAAAACATTTCTTTTTTATATTTGGCTTTTCTTGATTTTTTTTTTTCGTTATTTGAAATCTTTGCTCTTTTATTTTTCAGCTCCCAGATCCTCTCCCTCTCTTTAGCTTTCACTGTGTTTGATATCCAAGAATATGAAATGTGAAATCCACCGTCAAAGAGGGGAAGAGTCACCTTTCACAAATGCTGCTGTTCTCTTTGGAAGGGAAACTAGTGTGCTAGGCGTTTGAGTCCCTTCAGTCACGCACCTTGAAACCCTGTTTCAAGAGAGAGAGAGAGATGTTTTCTAAGTCATCTGTGCTAGAGGGCTCAGGGCTATATTCACAGAGCCGCTGGCAGTGCAAATAGCTTTGAATGACCCTTCACTCTCCGTCCGCAAATGTCAAAGCTCTTTGTTGCCTTTGTGAATAGCAGTATGTTAAACAAGGTTCGTCCCTGTGAGAGCAGACTGCTGTTCTGGGACAGGACCAAATGGAGTGTGTCCTTGTAGGAGAGTGGATTTTAAAACATGTGTTTTCTTTCTTGTAATTTAGGGATCATAGACGCTATTTCTATGTAAACGAACAGTCCGGCGAATCTCAGTGGGAGTTCCCTGATGGTGAGGAGGAGGAGGAAGAAAGCCCAGCCCAAGAGAGTAGAGAAGAGACTCTTCCTAAGCAGATTTTGAAAGATAAAACTGGCCCTGACTCAAATTCTGCAGAATCCTCCGAGAATTCCACAGGTGGGACAATTCACCCGGTGCTAATTAGAACAGATTGGGGGGAAGGGGAACATGTTACTAATTTATATACAAGCCAATCTTTTTTGATAATACATACTTCTAATTGAAAAATTGTAGCTTGACATTTTTTTTAATGCATGAATTACACCGCAGCACACTAAGGCAGTGAGTATTGATTTTAGACTCATTGTCTAGCTGTTGACCTCCAAAAACAGGAATACTAATAAATGCCTAGTTGGCATTACCAGCGTGTGTAGGTGCAGTAATAATAGACTTGTTCTGCATCTCTGTATAAGACTTGGTATGTTGCTAGCACCTTCTCATTTCAGCTCCACAAAAAATCATCTGTAGAAACTAAAACTAGGACCATGCTTGTTTTAGAGAAATAAAATTCTCAATTATTAAAAATCAATATTTTTATGTAAAGCATTGAGAAATTGACTCATCCTGTTAAAGATGGCCTTAGAGCCATTCCAGTTAGTTACACACACCTGTGTTTTAAAGTGGGCTTTCATATTGCCCCAGTAACTCTGAGGGTCTGCCAGCCCTTCAGAAGAGTATGGCTACCCTGTCAATGTTCAGCTTTTACAAAACAGTGACGGGCGTTTGTGAATAAGCAAAAGATGGTCCAGTTTTTCCATCTTCAGTCCATTTTTCGGTGGATGACGAAAATAAGTGAATAATGGAACACAGTCTGATAACCTATCAATTTAAAAATAACTCTTTGTTGACATAGTGTTTAAAGGCAAAAATCTGTGGAGTCGTGTCTCAAGTAATGGAACTTTAAGATTAAAAGATACTAAGTGTTGGTAATACAGGGACTAAAGAGCTAAATTCCTTTATTTTTTGCTTTATCTTTCACTGACTTCCTAGTCCGGTAATATACTAAATGATCTCTTCTGTGGGCTTCTTAAAGACTTACCCGTCTTTTATCAGATCACTCTGAATGAAAAGTCAAAAGCACCTGCTTGTGATAATTTTAGACTAGCAGATGCTGAGTGTGATGTGCTACTTCACGTATCGAATGGGTGTGGGTCAACTCGTGGGCTTCATGGTTCTTGTATGAGGATTTTATTTTTAATATCTCTTTTGATAGCAACGATTGACTCGTGTAACAATGAATTGGCTATTTTGTTTGTTTTTTAGTAGTTAGTGAACTGAAGAGGCTATATTTAATAAACATAGTGCCTTTTTTTCTTTTTTCCTTTCTCATGTTTACGAAGTTGAATGTTCCGTAATTACCCACTTTTTTTAATGAGTTTGTAAGCACATTAGCATTTAAATGTTTAGCAATCTTTGAAGATTAAAGACTGAAAATGGAAATTTTCCCTTTGATGGCCCAACTTCCCAAAGGAAGCCCATGAATCATTCTTTCCCGATTAAAACTAAAGAAAAACTCATTTCCATCAAGTCAGTTCTGACTTAATGACCCTATAGGGCAGACCAGAACTGGCCTTATGGGTTTTCAACATTAACTCTTTGCAGGAGTGGAAAGTCTCCTCTTGCTCCTGTGGAATAGTGGCCCAGTGTGTAACCTGTACCATGCCACCAGGACTTCAAGGGTCCTTGATAATGATCTCTGCTTTAACCTCTCTTTACTGAGCCTGCTAGCACCATTGATAAACTTGATGTTGGTAGAATGTTAACTGTATATGAACATCATTGGAAAACATCTTAGTTATTTTAAGCCTATAAAGAGAATTTATATCAATAGATGCTGTTACTTCTGAAGTGGCTATTATCATTTATTAAAAAAAGAAAATTTACAAGGAAGTTCAAAGTTCTTCCTCATTTAAAAATTTTAAATCCTTGCTTATTATTTTGTTTGAATTTAATATCATTTGTTTTTTAAAAAGAATAACAACATCGGTTGCCATCAAATTGACTTCCCCTAGGGGGCAGCCTTAGATGTGTCAGAGCAGAACTGTCTTTCATTGGGTTTTCAGTGACTAGTTCGCTCTGCACTCTCTCCAGGTATATTTGGGGTGGCTCAAACCTCCAACCTGTGACTTGGCAGCCAGCAAACACTGAGGATTCCAACTGACTGGGGTTTTGTCAGTCTAAATTAAGCCACCTTTTACCTTTTCAATCATCTAATAAATAACTTAAAAATTTTTTTGTTTTTAAATTGCTTGTCTGGCCTCATATCAAAATACCAAACAATAACTTGCTCCTTAGGGAGCTAAGAAAAAGCTACGTGTAAATTATAAATAAATATATATATATATTTAAGTTCTTAAAGAATTCGAATGCTTACAGTATTGTCATTGGGCTTATAGTTTATAAAAAGCTGTGTATTGATACCATTTTATTCCCTGCTTAGGCTTCAGAGTTAAAGTTTCTTACATAGCAAAAATACAAACCAAGTTTAACTTTAAAACAAGTAGTAGCATCTTCAGATGTGAGTCTAGTTTCTTCTTTTTTTTTTTTAGTTTCTTCTTATATGTACGAAAGATGTGACAAGTTCTGATAAGCTTTGCTAGAGGTGGGAAACCACATTCACCCCCATCATACTGGTCCCTTACATTCCTCTGCATAGTCCGTCACCATCATAAAACTATCAGCATTACCTTATGCTTCTAGGTGAAAAGCCTACCAAGGCATAAAACCAGACACACATAATCGACTTATATTTTGGTTGGTTTCATGGAAGGAAGCTTACTATTATAAAGCCTCCATGTTATTACCTTGGTTCTGAAGTAATCATCAGGTACTATTGTATCTTGGCCATACCCAGACTATTTGTCTGAAAAGTGTGTAGATTTAGATATGGCTGGGCACAACGGCTTAAGTCATTTTGGAAGTCTTTCAGCTAGAAAATGACATTCCAGCTTTCAAGCGGAATTCTTTTCAGTTTTTTCTCCTTAGCGGTAAACAGCATCTTACTTATAGCAATCACAAACAACTGCATAATTTATCTCTTCTATGAAAAGTAAAGCCACTGAAAAGTCAAATGGCTCTTGGTCACCTTTTATAGTTCAAAAGACCTTGAAAGGTCTTTTCCTTGCCCTGGAGCATTTATAGTCAAATTCTTCTTTCACCTACCATTTTAAACTGGACTCCCCATCAGAGAGAAGCTTTGCTTATTTGACTGGAATTTCTAAAGGTCTTGAACTCCAATTTTCACCAAGACCCCTTGGTAGGCTAGGAAACCCTAAAACGGAGTCAAGTCTGAGCTCTGATGCTGTTCTGGCCAATAGCTGCATAATCTCAGGCATAGGGGCCCCCTCCTGGGTTTCATTCCCTTTTAAATGAGGGAGTTGAACTAGATGATTTCTCATGTCTCTTCTACTCCTAAATTCTATGATTTTTAGGGAGAAAATCCCCTTCAACATTCCTGGGATATATTTCTAATAGTCCCAAATATTGTGAAACTTCCCTATTGACGATAAAGAGGGATGGGGAAGGCTACAAGTAAGTATTTCCTCCTATTTTCTCTAACCTTTAAAGCTGTTCCTGTCAGGGAAAGGACACCAGTTAGCTGTGGCCTTTGCAAAATTTGAGGAAAGTTGGTCCTGATCCCTTAACACTTAGTATTGGCAATGGCTATTTCGGTTCCTTGTTTAAATTTTTTTATTTTTTCAGTTCCTTTACACATTCAAACACCTCCATTTTTATGCCTTCACTACCATTTACCTTGGATATTTGTCCCCCTAAATATCTCTCCTCCCATCACCCTTGCCCTCCCTGATTTGTGTTGCTGTGGCTTGGCAAATGAGTAATTCAAACAAAGGTGTGAAAGAATGCTAGGGTTGACAGTACCCTACAAATGGAATTTTTGCATTTTATAACCTACATTTCATTAAAATCCATAGATCTGCCTGTGTTTTGAATGAATTCTGCTCTAGATTTTCCGCAGTCAACCAGTTGATTAAGAAATAAAGCCATATACGCAGTGTGGCAACTGCACACCACTCACCTAGTCACTTTTGAAATACAAACGACCCAGAGTCTTATCTTGTAATGTCGTGTGTTGAAATGGCAATATGTGAAATCAAAACCTCCCCCAATACAGATTCAGTTGACTTCTTGAATTTCTCATTGAACTGATGTGCTTCATTGACTCAAGTCTTGAGACTTGGTGTAGGCAGCCAGCTGACTAACATTCTAGTGCCAAGTGCCAGCCGGTTCTGACTGGCTCAGGAATTATCTGTTCATGAAAGTCATTTCTGAATGAGCCATTCTAACATTTTTGTGTCACCAGTGTAAAGTAAATGCCTGTAGGTGAGGTTTTGTCAGGAAGGGAGAGCCAATCTCTGCTGTCTAAAACTACTTTTGCCCACTGCACTAGTTTCTAATTTCTCCTATTTGTCATACCTGTCATTGAATTTCAGCCATGGAGTTTTGCCTCTGACATCTATGTGTTTTTCTTAGGTCCTCTTTGTAAGGAGTCGTCCTTTTCTGGCCAAGTTTCTTCTTCATCACTTATGCCACTCACTCCATTCTGGACCCTTCTTCAGTCAAATGTACCTGTGCTCCAACCTCCATTACCCTTGGCACCACCACCACCACCACCTCCGCCGCCAGCCTCCCCACCGCCGCCACCACCACCGCCTCCACCACCTCCACCGCCGCCGCCACCACCACCGCCACCTCCTCCTCCACCTCCTGTAGAGGACGGTGAGATACAAGAAGTCGAGATGGAAGATGAGGGGAGTGAGGAGCCTCCGGCCCCAGGAACAGAGGAAGATACTCCTTTGAAACCTTCAACACCAACCCCAGTTGTAACCACCCAGGTGGGTGAGGCCTGTTGATATTCTGTAGAGGTTTTTTGGAGGGTGGGGCATAATTGACACTGTATTTTACTGTAGGAGATGGTGTCTTTACCAGGGCCTGGACCAATAACCACTTTGTGTTGCAGAGTTCCATGGATTCCATTACCTCAAGTTCTCCTTCCATTAAAGCGGTGAAGAGAAAGGCTGCAGAGATGAGCACTGCTGTAGTCCAGAGATCCGCCACCATCGGCAGCTCTCCCGTCCTCTACAGCCAGTCGGCTCTAGCTAGAGGTGAGCACGTGGCTTCAGGAGTCAAGTGTGTTTTTCCCATGGATCGTGTCCCCTTTGCTTGTTTGTCATCAAGACATGTCACCAATTAGACAAGTGTTCCAAGCTTTGGATGGCAACTAGTATTTATTTGCCTGCATTTCTTTCCATTTACTGTGTATCCTACTAGGACTTTCTGAAGCACATTCACAAGTAGTTAATACCTTAATGCTAAAATACTCAGACTTTAATATTTTGTCAACAACTAGATGTGCCCCCCCCCCTTTTTTTTTAAGGAAGAGGTTTATTGAAATTTATAAATGATATAAGCTAATCTCCCATTCCCTTCTTCTTTCCTTTGTTTCTGGTCTTGTGGCAATGTCCTTTTTTTATAGTATTATTTTGTGTTTTCTGTGTTAGGTCAGCAGGCAACAGGGATCAGTACCCAGGCTGCAGTGATTGGTCACCCAGCAGTAACAGTTAGCCATCCGGCCACAGCAGTGACTCAGGCCAGAGCAATGAGCCTCCAGTCGAGTTACCTTGGACTTACAACAGCATCTGCAATGATGAGCTACGCGGAATGTCCTGTCCCCATTGGAGTGACTGCTCCCACGATTCAGCCGGTTCAGGCTGTTCCAGAACCACCTCCTCCCCCTCCCCCTCCTCCCACACCACCTCCACCAGCACCCAAAGTGCCGCCATCTGACAAAACCAAAAAAGGAAAGAAAGACAAGGTATAAAAAATCTAGTTTTTATATTTTTATTTTTTTATGTTGGAATGCAATTCACATAGCAAAATTAATCATTTAAAACTATACTGTCTCGGTGGCATTTGTTTCATTTGTTGTTTTTTTCTTTTAACATTTTATTAGGGGCTCATACAACTGTTATCCCAATCCATACACACATCAATTGTGTAAAGCGCATTTGTACATCGTTTCTCAAAACATTTTCTCTCCATTTAAACCCCCGACATTAGGTCCTCATTTTTCCCCTCCCTCCCTGCATTCGTTATATTTAGGTCGTTCTGTAGCCACCACCTTCATCTAGTTCCCAACCACTGTCTTTATCCCAAAGGGAAAACCTGTGCCCCTTTAGCAGTCCCTCTCACCCACTTGATAACCACCGATCTGTTTTCTGTGTCGAGAGATTTCATCAACATTGAATTGTACACTATGTGGCCTTTTTTGTGTGTTTGGTTGCTTTCCTTTGCATGTATCTAAGAAAAGGTCAATGTACACTACAGTATGATGTTCTTTGTTGTCTGCCTCCCATCCCATCCCAACCCCACCTTTTTTTTTGACAAAGCTGGTAAAGTTTGACATTTGAAATATAAGAATTTCTACAGATAACTGAAAAAGTTAAATTTAAACATCCTGAAGCTCTTAATGGTTGGTCCTTACCCTGCGCGGTGATTGTTTTTTGACTGCACTTAGTTGCCAATGAGCACTGGAGGATTCTCCAGCAATATTCTGTTTTCTTAGAGCAGTAACAATGTGCACAGGGATGGTGGGAGAGACCAGAAAAACTCTGAGCTATGCTAATGACCCCTGGCTCCATACGTGAAGAGGCCTCAATTTGTGAGGACTGGGCTAGTGTGATGGGGCTACATTACCCAGCATTCCTTTGGTAACCAAACTCGTTCCCCAAACTAAGCATTTCTTAACCACTACACTCTAGGAAGGATATGGTTCTTTGTTTTTGTTTTTAATCATTTTATTGGGGACTCTTACAACTCTTATCACAATCCATACATACATCAATTGTGTAAAGCACATTTGTACATTCATTAGCCTCATCATTCTCAAAACATTGGCTCTTCACTTAAGCCCCTGGCATCAGCTCATTTTTATCCCCTCCCTCCCCGCTCCCCCTCCCTCATGAACACTTAATAATTTATAAATTACTATTATTTTGTCATGTCTTGCACTGTCCGTCTCTCTTCATCCACTTTTCTGTTGCCTGTCCCCCAGGGAGGAGGTTATGCGTAGATCCCCGTAATCGGTTCTCCCTTTCTACCCGACTCTCTCGACC